ATATTACAGCGGATATATTAAATATAAAAGAAGAAATTATTATAAGATTTAAAAATATTTTAAATATGATAAACAGCGGAATAAAATTGAATCCACAAAAATTTGGAGAATATGCGAAAAGCACTCTGAATTTATTTAAAGAATCATATCCCCACAAAAATTTAACACCAACTGTACATAAAATTCTATGCCATGGAGAATAATCCGAAGAAGCACAGGAGGCCAATCACAAAAAATACCGAAGACTAAGACTCAATAACACGTGTAAATTATTCAGAGAAAGAATCAACCAAGATCTCTTCCGCATTATGCTTGCTTCATCGGATCCATTAATATCGTCTTTAAGGATGCAGCAAAAGAGAAAGGATATTCAAGAGGAATGGCCAGAGGAGATTTGTGACATTTTTGAATTTTAAATAGTAGATACGTAACGTTATTGTGTTAGTTAATTAATTAAGTATCATTTAACATAAATAACGTATTTAATGTTGCTTAAGTACTTAATGAAGAATACTTCAACTTCATTAAAGAAAAAAGAAATATTACTTTATCTTCATTCCTTCAAAAATTATAGATTTTTGGCCGCTGAAACATAGATTATTCCCACTGTGCGCCGCGACGTGATTCCGTGGAATCGTCTGATTTTATTTTAAAGGAAGCCGTCAATACAATACCGGCTTTTGACGAGACTGTTACCGCGCTATATGATCGTTTAAAAGATATTTTGAACCTCGCTGCTTCGTTGACATTTTTCGCGGAGAAATAGCCAATATATTGTTGCGACGGTGAGAAGTTTCCGCTCTTTCGACGCATCGACCGCTTCTTGATGTATCGAAAGAGCCATCGACTGCCCCGTCCGAAGCTGTCGACGAATCATGATGAGAAGCTATTCCTTGTTTCGAGCGGAAACACGTCATCGGATGCTCGAGGTCTCTTAAACAACCGCGCGTCTTTTGAATATCACAATGTATCGGGAAGCCAACCTGTACGAACCTATTGCTTAAAACTCCTGTGTAACTGAAATATAGACAGTCTAGTTTGCTTCGTGTTTATTTATTTGACTATGGAAAGTGCGAGCTCCACTCCCCGGCGCAACAATATTTATGAAACCGCATAAACACATTCTTGATTTTATCGATTGCGTCAAAGATTTACGCGACGCAATTCTGGATTGCAACCGGCAATCTCCAAATATCGTGAACGTTGATGAGCTAACCGTCGACAGCTTTATCAATGGATTAAATCCAACGTTAAGAGCGGAAGTCCCCGTTAACACACGTTTTTGACGAAGCTATACGTGCATATAAACAATCCGAACTCGATCGGATTCGGTACAGAAAACCGACGACTGACACACGCCGAGTACAATTTGTGAATGCCTACGAGCCACGTGAAGCTCGCAGTTCGTCGCCGTATCGCTCATATTCATCGAATAACACCTGGAGACGTCCTCCAACGCGTGAATACCGCCGCTATTAACCGCCCGAGCCGGTACATTACAAAACCGTACCGCGATATAATTCTTATCTTGAAAAAACTAAATTTACGCCGCGTAGAGATTTTTATGGTGCCGATGCACTTGATCACAACCGCGCGGAACATACCCAACACTCTCGTGGTTCGGCCCGCGCTAACGGCGCGCTCTGATTGGCCAGTGTTTTTCGATAATAACTCGAAAACGAAGCCTTAACCAACATTTTGGCAAAGGAAAAAGTTGTTTAGAATGACCTCACCAATCATCCCTCTTCCGTTCCTACCCCAGTTCTGGGACACCCTGTATATGTGTTGGAGAAAGCGTTTCCCCGCGCTCTACTTTCTCCCTCATAGGTTTTCCCCACTCTCGCCTTTGGCCAAGTCAACGCTTCCAGCGAGCTTTTCTATTGCGTTCTACTACGTTGCGAACGGTCCGACGATCTGTTAGAAGCGTTTAACTGTTTGACGATATATTACTCTGAGAAGTGTTCATACTATAGAATAAGAGGTTGCGTATAAAACCATATATAAATATATATCCTTTTTCATATACATATAACACTGTGTGTAATTATTTCGTCTACACACCAGCTCACAGGAAGAGTCCCAACAGTAGATAATCAATAAATATGTATATATATTCTATTGTTTTGTGTTACATACCCTACGTTGACTGTGGCTATAACACACATAATAGAGTCCTGCATTAGATATTTTTTAAATTTACATACAGTTCCAATAATATATAAATATTATTGCAACAATGGCACACTATGAAGTAACAGGTGCTAAACCTGATTCATTATTGGGTCATCGATTAAACAAAGAATTTCAAATAACTGGTATATCTCCTGAAGACTTTATTAAAATTCACAGTGGTCTTGAGTTTGGTATGGATAATGTGAAAGCAAAATTTAAAAAACATTGCGATGACTATATGACACCACTTGAGTTAAACAAGGCATCAAAAGCACGTAGCGTTCTGTTCTGAGGTTGTTAAAAAACAGTACAGGTGATAAGGTTTCGAAAGAGTCTAGCCGGATAATTTCAAACCAAATTCAACTTGCTATGAACCATTCGATAGGCGATCAAAAAAAACCAGTCTGTGCCAAGTTTCAACCCTGTATCTCATCTGGGAGGGTAGTTACCGGTATAAATGTAATCGCGAAGTTTTTGGCCAATTTCTCCTATTTATTGACATTCGAAAATTCTGAAAAAAATCAGGCTTTCCTAGAGACAACCGTCTTAAGGGCACAGACTCCTTCGAGACCTCCTCCGAATCGATGTAAGCGCCATTGGAAAGAATCGGGCAATCGTGGAAACACATAATTGAGAAATTCGATGTGGCGGCCCGGCCGTTGGCGATAAGGAAGATTGAAGATTATTCTCATCGCCACCTTTTTTTATAACTACGTTTATTGTTCAATTGTCATTTTAAACAAATTAGAATAACTTTTATAACTATTCATTCTTCGTCGAATTCTCCAAGCCAAAAGACGTTAACATTTATATCAATATTTCTAAATATATTTTTCACAATTTAAGGGGGTAGACACGGGTAATGCAGCGAGGTGACATTACCGGCAAAAATGGGCCTTGTTATGTATGCTTATCCGTCTTTATTGACGACTTTACAATGTTACGGACAAAACTCGACTAGCCTAAACAGAAACGCTCACTCTGACTGACAATCACACACACTCACTCGTACGTACATTTACGATGTCACTCACACAGCATTCTCACTTACTGACGTATACATTACAGTTCCCTCTCTCTTTAGGAACGCCGCTTAATTATTCTGTTTCTTGTCGGCTAAACGTTTCGAAGATCGTCTGGTTACAGCAACTTCGACTTGAGCCTCTCCTGGAACCACTTTGTCTGTATTTGGGTCTTTTTCTATTTCGTATTTTAAGATCTGGTCAACGTGTCTTTTCCACGTTCTTCCAGGCGAAACCTCAACTTCGAAGTGTACTGGTGACGTCTGGACCGTGATTATCGCTGGTACTTTCTTCTCTGAGTTAGTTGAGTAGTCGTTTACCCACACTCTCTCCCCCTTTACAAACTTGACGTTACGCGACGCTGCACGGCTCAGTATCTGTTGTAACTGCGCTTTTTCTATGTTATTCGCTACGTTTGGCTTTAACAAATCAAATTTTGTTCGCAATTCGCGTTTATATATCATCCATGCTGGCGATCGACCGGTAGAGCAATGGTCCGTGCTTCTATAATCAAACAAAAATGTATCAACGGCTTCGTTAAGTGTTTTACCGGCCTTGGTCATTTTTGTGACCTTGTCTTTAAAAATTCCTACGAAATTTTCCGCTGCGCCGTTTATAGCGGGATGATATGGTGCTGAAAATGTATGTTTAACCCCATTTGTTCTCATAAAATTTCTAAATTCGATGCTAGTGTATTGTCGACCATTATCCGTCACTAAATGATTTGGGAGTCAGTATCGCGAAAACATTTTTTTGAACTGATATATCACTTTATCGGTCTGCGTATTCATTTTCATGTCACAAATTTCCGGTCATTTACTGTATGCATCGACTACTATCATGAACATATGACCATGGAATGGTCCCAAAAAATCGCTATGAATTCTACTCCATGGTTTATTTGGGGATGGCCACGGGTTGAGAGATGTTTTAGGTGGGGATTTTCTTTCACGCATACAGATTTTACATGTCGCTACAAGCTTTTCTAGATCGGAGTCAATGTTTGGCCACCAAACGTAAGAATTGGCGCGTGCTTTCATTTTAACTATCCCAAAGTGGGAATCATGCAAGTCTTTAAGGATTCGCGGTCTGAGGCTTTTTGGTACGACTATGCGATATCCCCATAAGAGACAGTCTTTTTCAACGTATAGCTCGTCCCGTTTCGTATAATACTTTTGCTCCGTTTCGCTCAATTTTTCACGCTGTGGCCATTCGTTCCTTACAAACTTAACTATTTTATTTAACGTATCATCTTTCGATGTTTCTTTTATACTATCTTTCACCGTTATCACTTTTAATTCCTGTTCGATATAATTTATTGATGCGAACTCTTTATTAAAAACCGGTGTCTGGTCTTCAATTGGCAGTCTCGATAATGCGTCACAGTTGCCGTTCTTTTTTGTATTAACATATTCGATTTTATATGTAAAGTGTGATAGGAAATAGGCCTATCTTTGAAGTCGGCTGGCTACTGGTAAGGGGATTTCCTGATTTGGTCCAAAAATATACACTAAGGGTTTATGATCCGTTTTTAAAACTATTTCTCTTCCGTATATATAATTGTAGAATTTTTTAAAACCGAATACAATTGCGCCAGCCTCCTTATCAATGATAGCTCTATTTAGTTCCTTATTTGGAATGACTTTCGATGCAAATGCGATAGGCCTTTCCAATCCATTCGTATAACGATGTGATAGTATAGCCGAAAGTCCGTACTCTGACGCGTCGCATGCGAGTACGAGTTCTTTCAACGGGTCATAATTCTTCAGTACTTTAGGTGAAATAATCTCATTTTTTAACCATCGATATGCTTCCTCACATTCCGCGTTCTATTCGAACCTCGTTTTTTTCGTTAGCTCGTACAATGGTTTCAAGCGTGAGGCACGGTCGGACAAAAAACGCTCGTAATATGTTACAAGTCCTAGGAAGGATAACAATTGTTTTTTATTCCCCGGTACTGGTGCGTTTACAATCGCATTTACTTTCTTCTTCGACGCGCATAATTCCCCTTTACGAATAACAAATCCAAGGATTTCCAATTCTTCTTTCATGAAGTCGCATTTTTTCACGTTTACTTTAAATCCATATTCTTCCAGTCTTTGTAAAACTTTATATAACGTATCAATATGCTCTTTATCATTTCCGCCCGTAACATATACATTGTCCAGATAGATGGCTAGCTTCCCCTGTATATCCTGTAAGCAGTTCTCTACTATCTTTTGAAATTCCCCCGGTCCCGATGCAACGCCTTCCGTTAACTTCGTGTACCGATACAAGCCAACGTGCGTGATTATTGTTAACATATCCCGCGATGCAGGGTCGACCGGTATCTGCATATGTGCATGAGTCAGGTCGATCTGACTGATTTTTTCTCCCCCTTGCAATGCGCTAAAGATATCGTTTATTGTTGGTAATGGGTGTCTATTTATCACTAAACACTGGTTAACCGTTAGCTTGAAATTACCGCATATCCGTACAGAACCATCATCTTTTATTATCGGAACAATGGGTGTAGCCCATTCACTCGTTTCGACGCGCTCGATATGTCCTAAATTTTCCAATCGTCTCAGTTCCGCTTCTACTTTATTTTTCAACGCGTATGGCACGTGTCTAAGTTTGCATGCCTTCGGCACAGCGTTTTCTTTTAGGGTGAGTCTTAGGGTACCTCTATTGAAACACCCTGTACCCGTACCGAATAGCTTAGGGAAATCTTTTGCAACTTTCTCATTTAATTTTTCCTCCGCGGCTGATTCTACATTGTTCAGTTTAAATGACGACCAAAGTCCAAAAGCGTGCAACCATGACCTGCCGAACAGCGATGCTCCCTTCCCCGGCATTACCAATGCGTCTAGTTCTAACATGCGATTTTTAAATTGAACATTTAAATTACGTAACATGCCTACCGGTTTTATTTTCAAATTATACGCATTCAGCGAAAATGAGACATTCGACATTTCCAGATTCGCAAAGTACTTACTTCTCGTATCATCAGAAATTACACTCCAATACGACCCCGAGTCTATTTCCATTTCCAAGTTGATCGAGTTTATTGACACATCAATGCACGCGAGTGCCAACGCTTCACTCGACTTTATCGCGCTGCTCGTCTTGTTTACGTTACTGATCGGCGTTAGGCTGTAGAAATCGTGCATGTCGTCGTCTTCTTCTCCATCGGTACTCCCCTCTCCTGTCTCTCACAATTGCTGTATCCTTTGGTTTCGGGTACGGCACGCTATTTGGATATGGCCCCTTAGGTTACATCGTCGACAAACCTTAAATCTATGTCTACATTCCTTGCCGATGTGCCCTCTGTTTCCACAACAATAACAAACTATCGTGCTTCGTTTACTTTCCTTGTTCTTATCGTAGGCCTCTTGCGAACGAGAAGGGGTTTTTTGGTTTTGAATATTTCTATCATATCGTTTACTATTCGTACGATTACTTATGCGTCGATCATTACGATTGCTACCGTTATTTTGATTGCCTCTATGCTTTATATTGAGGGCGTGAATATCCTTTTGTGGCCCGCTTGCCTCGCCGATTTTGTCTGTTACCGCTGCGTCCTTCTCAGCTTTCTCACACGTTAACGCTATTTTATACGGTTTTTCGTAGGTCAGGTTTTCTTCTTTGAACAAATCCATTTTCGTTGCGTGATCTTGGAGTCCACATACCAGTTGGTCTCACAACGCTGTTTCTTTTGATGAGAAATTACAGTTTAACGATAATTCTTTCAATCGAACTACATAATCCGATACACTTTCTGTCATTGTCTGCTTCGTTGCGTAAAATTTGCACCTTTCCATTGTTTCCGATGGCTTCGGGCATAGGTGGTTTGTTAATATTTCTACGATTTCTTTGAACGTTTTATCTTTCGGTTTTTGTGGATAACAGAGGTTCTTAATTAGCTTGTAGGTATCTGGACTTACTTTTGTTAATAAAATAGCTGCTTGCTTTTTTTCGTCTATTGTATTATTCACCGTGAAATACAGTTCTAGCCTCTCAATAAATGTTTCCCAGTCATCTTTACCTAGTTCGAATTCCAGTTTGATTTTTGATTCCATCGTTACTATATCATTGGCCCTTGTTTCGCCTATTCGGTCTTGCTTTTGTTCCTCCTTTGACTGCAAATGCTCGATTAATTTTCGTCTTAGTCTTTCGGTAGAGTCTTTTGTTTCATACGGCACACCCGCACTTTTTAAACGTATACACAGTTCAGTTCTCGGGAGGCTCGATATTTCACTGTAATCGTTACTAAAACATTCAAAATCACTCGGCTTGCGATTGGGCATTGGTTCAACGCATGCTTACACGGTTCGCAATAACCTCGTCGCCAGTGTTATGTATGCTTATCCGTCTTTATTGACGACTTTACAATGTTACGGACAAAACTCGACTAGCCTAAACAGAAACGATCACTCTGACTGACAATCACACACACTCACTCGTACGTACATTTACGATGTCACTCACACAGCATTCTCACTTACTGACGTATACATTACAGGCCTATTAATGGGTTTACGGGAATCGGTTATTTGTCCTTATATGAGAACACTTATGGCAGAGTGAGGGCTCATTCGAAAGAGAAAAGTCCAATGCAGGGGGCTCAACCGATGGTTTAACGAGATTGTGTTAATATCTAATAATATGAGTGTCCAAAGTAGAGGAAAAATCGAGAAAATACGCCCGTTGAATCCAAGTACATTTTAGGTAACTATAGGAGTTTTGTGACTAAAACGATTTGTTGAGCCCCCTTCATAGAACCTTCCTCTTTCGAATGAGCCCTTATTCAGCTCAAGATCTTCTCATATAAGGACGAATAACCGATTCCCGTAAAAGCATTCCCAAAGACGAGTTCCGCCATTATGTGGATACTACAGAGCAAGTTACGTGAAAAATTTAGTTCAGCTAGTAGTTATAAGGTGGCGTCTAAGTAGAAAGGCTGCCGATTTGGAATCGTAGTCAGAATCAAGCGTTAGCTTGATTACGTCACTCGAACTGTGCTGCGAAGGCAAGCGAAAAAGGCAACATCGCCCAAACTTTTTAGAAAAAGTTATTAACTTCTTTAAATAAATGTTTCTTAATTAATAAAAATATACAGGATACGTCATGCAATTTCTGACGGGTTATATCTTGAATTTGATAAGAGATAGGAAAAAGCTGTTTATGTAAAAGTTCAATGGTATGATAATGTCTATTTTTCTGTGATTTCATCTTCTCCGTGAATGCAACGATGCACTAAAAATGCAAATCCACTTTTTATTTAAATGGAATTGCATCAATTTTTACTTGTGTCAACTCCTGGAAACATTCTGCATAAAAAAGTACTAAGGTACTATTAGAACTAATAAATGGAGGGACCTCGCGTCTACATACACAGTAAAAGCTGAATAAATGCAACAGAGATTGGGAACCAGACGTTACATTGACATATCCAGCCGAGATGTCGAATCTCGAATTAGATGGAACGACCAGCCAAGCGTGAACGTAGAAAGGGACAAATAGTGGAGGAGAGAGAGAGAGCGGTCTAATGGTCAAAGGAAAGAGCCGAAACGTATCGGTGTGACTAATACTAATTCAATTATAAAACTTTTTTATTTTTGACTTTTTTTTACTGAAACTTTTACTAGCGCATTGGTGAAATTTTTCTGATTAAAATGATACCAAACACGATATAGTTTGAATGGGGCGAGGTTTGTTATGGGGCGCTGTGGAAAATCCAGGCGGGCGGCAGTCAAATCTTAGCGAAAGGGGACAATCTCAACATTCTGAATGAGAGAAGGACAGCATGACTGTAGTGCGTCTCACTCAGCGTTCGGGCGATGTTGCCTTTTTCGCTTGCCTTCGCAGCACAGTTCGAGTGACGTAATCAAGCTAACGCTTCATTCTGACTACGATTCCAAATCAACAGCCTTTCTACTTAGACGCCACCTTATAACTACTAGCTGAACTAAATTTGTCACGTGACTTGCTCTGTAGTATCCAGATAATGGCGGAATTCGACTGTGAGAATGCAATCGCGATTTTTCGCTTTTCTCCCTTATATGAGAATATTTGAGGCTGGGTGAGGGCTCATTCGACAGAGAAAGGTTCAGTGCAGCGCGCTCTGGTCATCGTTTGAGTCACAAAACTCTTTTAGTGACCTAAAAATACCTTGGATTCTGCGAATGTATTTTCTTGATTTTTCCTCTACTTTGGACACTCATATTATTAGATATTAACAAAATTACGTTCAATCATGACCAGAGCGCGCTGCATTGAACCTTCCTCTTTCGAATGAGCCCTCACCCAGCCTCAAATATTCTCATATAAGGACGAAAAGCGAAAAATCCCGGACCCCTTTTTATGCCCATGTTTGCCGGTAATGTCACCTCGCTGCATTACCCGTGTCTACCCCCTTAAGCTTTAACCATTCATTTTATATATGAAATAAGTTTTCCACATCGACATTTGACGGTGCGACATCTAACGTCATTATGCAGAATAAGAAACGAAAGTGAGGTGGCGTAGTTGTCGAATCACATCATTTTAGAGATTCTTTCGCGGTGTTGCCACATCTGTGACAATCCTGACCATCTAGCAAAATGAATTTGCTCGAGCCGAGCGAGATTTTAATTCCAGGCGGACATAGAAAAGGACAGCGCGATAGAAAGAGAAAGAGTATCATGAATGAAACAACGTAGGGCCGATCGGCGGAAATGTATATGTCACACGCCACGACAGATTCGATGAATACACATAACGTACGCGACTATAAAACTTATACGAATAAAAACTACATGGTATTAATAATTTCAGAAAAGGAATGAACAATAAAGACATGTAAATTCATCTATATATACAATATTTATTCATTCAAATATAATAATTTCAGAATAGGACAGAAAATAAAGACATGTAAATTAATCTATATATACAATATTTATTCATTGAAATATAATCAATAAATATAAACAATGATTGGCCGTCGCTCGCCGTCTGCTTCGGCCTCTTCTTTCTCCGCGGCGTCTGCATCATCGGAAATTGTTTGCGTTACGGAAATTGTTTTTATCTGAAATACAATAATGAATGTTTTATAAGAAGAAAAAACAATCGTAGGAATTCAGTGGCTACTGTTGTAGACATAATTTCCATGTCACGAAAAATCTAATTCCGCCACATTTATTACATAGAAGAATCAACACTTTTACTTACTTGCGACGTCGACGGCCTCGAATTCTTCTTTCCCTTTCCTTTTCGTTAGACCTCTTTCTCCTGTTTGTTCTATCCTCTTTCTTTTTTATTTCCTCTTTCTTTTCTTCCTCTTCTTCCTTGTCCATCTATGAAGAAAGTAATTTATGTATAGATAACGTAATATTAATTATGTAAGATTATACTTGCCGATTCTACGTGATGAGGCAGCATATTTGCAGTCCATTTGCCCTGGTAACGCTTTCTTGAATATATCTATATATAATTTTTACTTTTTCTCGAGAAGAGGAAAATGCTGTCTTTAATTTCTCAACGACAAAAATATTCATGCAAAGATGAACGAAGATGAATGAAAGATGTTACGTCCGGATTATTTTCAACAATCCAACGGTGGCTAACATCTATTTTCATTTTCTTTCTGATAGTGTTGAATAGTTTAACCGTTTAATATACTGAATTTGTGTACCTCGTCGGTGCGCGGCACTTGGAGATAATTCCAGGCGAGGCACACAAAGGAGGCTATAATTAGTTCTTTTCAAATAATAAGAAGTTAACCTTCCTTGGGACGATTGCCTTGTCGAAACCGCGTAGCAATAAACACATAGAAATTCGAAATCGCTAAGGTTAAGGAGAGGTACTATCAGCATCTTTCGCCACGCGGTTAAGCAGTACGACGCACTTGGAAATTTCCCAGCTTAACCGCGCGGAATAAGGGAAATACGATTTTTGTTTTATCTCGCAAACGAAATACATACCTCCAAAGCATGCGTCAGCCGGTCCTTCCACCAAAGAATGAATGCGATTAAGAACGAAAGTGATTGGAATCGAACGGAATGAAACTGTTTGAATGATTATGAAATGCAAGGGTTTGCGTGACAACCGCTGTAGTTTGAAATTGTCGACCGACGTTCAAGAACGTTCGAGACAAGAGGTCGACTAAGGCAATAAACATCGGCAACGAACATCTGGGAAACGTTTCAAATATATGTATATCGTTAATAATTAACACGCGAGTCTACTGTTAGATAAATGCAACAAACCATATGCATAGATCCGCGATTTAACAATAACAATAAAATCGATTGCCTTTTTACGTAAACTGCCGAAACGCGAATAAGGAACGGAATAATTAAGAGTATTCAACTAATAGTCATTCAATACAGTAAATCAAACATCTATTAGAAAACGTGGAGCTCCTTCGATACTGGAAACGTCATTTATAAAAGCCTCTTTGATTAACGAATTCAAATAAAACCAAGTCGTAATACATTTCGAACATTCTAGAAGTATTAGAATTGCGACGCACGAATTTCGCTGAATAGAGGGGTAGAAGGAAATAGACAACGCTAGACAAAGGCAACGTGAAAGGTCAAGAAGGGATGAGAACTCGGGAAACGCGCCTAGACCAACCTATACGCGCGGGCCTTCCCCTTCGACACGTATCCTGATTTGCCAAATGATGTCCTTACTTTGGGGTACCGATCGCGCGTCGAACCCTGAGACACGATCGCTTGACTGAGGCAAATCACTCTTCGTCGAAAAATCGTGAGGTACGTGACGGGGAGCCCGTGTTCGCGCCGAGCAATAGTTTTCGCGTGAAAATCATAGTGATTAGCAGACCGGTAAAGTCCTTGAAAAAGGCAAAGTGCCGGGAGATTGAGGTTCGCGTTTTCCGCGTTAAAGACTCTTGCGAATACGTTAAATTTCATACTTTTCAATTACTATCCTTTTCTCTTTCGTTTTTAAATCGTTCGCTAAATAAATTATTTTTCTTTTCTTTTCCTTTCGCGTCACGTCGTTTTTGCAATCCTTTTCGTACTCGTTCGTAAATAATTGTTCCGTAACACCGTACATAAAGCCGATCGCGAACGCGTAGTGCAAGTGACAGTTTTCTCATCTCTTCTTTGACTTCCAGATTTCTAGACAACACCAGCGACTGTTAAGCGAATACAAAATTCTGTCATTTACGATAATACATCGAGCTTGGTAAGTTGTCCATTTCATTTCTATCCAATACGACGAATCTGGATTTAGTGAGGTAAAACGGGCGATCTACGGAACCGGGTGTTCTGGAAAATATCCCATTAGATCGTGCCGTTCAACACCGCGATATAAGGTATCGAGCATTAATATTCTCGAATAAAATTCCGATTCGCATTCAAAGGAGACGGCCCCACGAAACCGTCGTTTTGGTAAT